GGTAACGTCGATCAAATGACTGCTGTGGGTTTCGATCTCGATCAAGTCTGCTGACCTTGAATAAGTCATCTTCACTCCAGTCGACCCAGCTGTAAATGAGTATGGATAATCTGGGAAAGATCAATGCCAAGAGGGTAGATAGAATCCTCAAGTGTGAACCTTAGTAAAATATAGCACTTTCTTTCTTTCTTTGTCATAAATTCTTTTGAATATTTTGAACTAAATATAACTGTTACGGACTGTTTGAACATCTAAAAAGTTAGCTATTTAATGCAGTCCAATGTATTCCAATCTGATAAAGATTTTTTATTTACTGTTATTCACAGGATGTATTTCTGGGCACATTATCTGTGTTCTCTTTTGATGCCAATCAGAATTCAAATTTATGAGAATCACATGTTATCGTCATCTAATCTATACTTTTATCATCTTTAGTTTTATGATCTATACTTTTATCATCTGTAGTTTTATCATCTGTAGTTTTATCATCTATAGTTTTATCATCTGTAGTTTTATGATCTATACTTTTATCATCTTTAGTTTTATGATCTATACTTTTATCGGCTGTAGTTTTATCATCTGTAGTTTTATCATCTATACTTTTATCATCTTTAGTTTTATGATCTATACTTTTATCGTCTGTAGTTTTATCATCTGTAGTTTTATCATCTATAGTATTATCATCTATAGTTTTATCATCTGTAGTTTTATCATCTTTAGTTTTATGATCTATACTTTTGTCATCTGTAGTTTTATCATCTATAGTTTTATCATCTATAGTTTTATCGTCTGTAGTTTTATCATCTATAGTTTTATCATCTATAGTTTTATCATCTATAGTTTTATCATCTTTAGTTTAATCATCTATAGTTTTATCATTTGTAGTTTTATCGGCCAATCTGATAGTACAATTCTGCATTAATTGTTTGTAAATTTTTTGTGAAACATTGCCCAGGTTCCTCTTCATAGAATGCTGAGATTATCTGTCATGTTTTAGAAAGACAGTATAAGTAACTCCATAAGCAACCAATGACCAAAGTGGTTTAAGATCGAAAATGCATGGCAAAATCATGGGTCTGCAGAAGAGTAAACACTAAGTTGGTGATCAGCTCACATGCTAAGATGAATGGGTTATAACAGTCGGTTAGAGTGTTGGTTCTTGACATAACATCATATCTTTTATGTTGAGCAAATAATTCTAGTCAACGCAACTGTAAATGGGTACAGCAAATCCGGGAAAGATCAATGCCAAGAGGTTTGGCCAAGGACCAGCTGGTTGAAAGGATCCTTAACTGTGAACTTATGTTATCTTTGTAAAATATAGTTGTTTGGTTGGTTCTTTTCTGAACTTTTTTGAGCATGAAGTGTCTTTCTGGAAAAAAATTGAAAGAAACTTGAATGCTTGAAGATTTCAAAACCAAAATATGCTTAAGTTTTAGTAAACTTCTATGCTTAAAAGGAGCTAAGCATTTCAGTTTATTAACATGAGCCATCAAGACCTGAAAAAGCCTTTAGTTGTTGAGATGGACAATAAACAAAGGCCCTGTATGCTGCATGTGTATGATAAAGATCTCTCAGAAATCAAATAAGAGGCTTATAATACATCTTTTCTGGTAAAAGTCCCTCATTGTACTCTACATGGCATTGGCTGTCTTCATTAGCTTCATAAGAGTATGACGTAAAACTCAATTTCATTTTATTTGAACCATTTGGATATGACATTTTAATGGGATTGTTAAACTTTTTTGTGGAAGTGCACTGCAGGAACCACAGACGTTGACAGAAATTTGAAT